TTTTTTTTTTTTTTTTTTTTCCCTCTTTTAATAAAGCAAGGTTTCTGAAACCTTCCATTGAAGTTTGTTAATTGCTGTACATATAACAATGTTATAGATAGATTAATGAAGTAATTGCAAGCTTTGCAACTGGTAGATTAAGTTCCCTTTAATTGTGATAAACCTGACTTGTAATCCGTACTTGTTATCTGCTAATGATAGATTGAAAATCTTCCTGTTTGCATGAAGCTTGCTTATTTATTTTTTTTTGCTTAAATGAGCCTCCTAAAGTTACTTTGCTTGTAATCAGGTGTAATTGCAATGTCATGGTGTCCCACCGATACCTCCTACTTGCTAACCTGTGCCAAAGACAACAGAACTATCTGCTGGGATACTATTTCTGGAGATGTAAGCTCTGTTGCAGTTCTTTGATTTTCTGCTTTGCATTCTTCTACACTCCATAGCTTTGTTAGTAGGTGCTTCAACATATGCATTAATCAGGAAACTACTTTGATTTTCCTCTCCCAATGCAGATTGTGTGCGAATTGCCTGCTAGTACCAACTGGAACTTTGATGTACATTGGTATCCTAGGATTCCTGGTGTTATATCAGCATCCTCATTTGATGGGAAGATTGGCATGTATAATATTGAGGTACGACCCTTCTTGTTGGGTATTCATGAAAGGAAGGACATCATACTCTCAATTAGAGATATATTCTTCAAATCGTTTTTCAATATATGGAAGTGAACCTGCAAAGGCTATTAATGTAGTGAACTGCTCTTCTATGTGCAATGAAATCATCATTATATAGTGCCTTCATTTTTCATTGCTGAATAAACTTAGCCTGAAGTATCCAGTTTTTCAATTTTCAGTTGTTTGGTATATAAAATCGATTGTTTTGGTTTGCCATCCTATGTTTACAGAGTTGCAGCCGATATGGCGTAGGAGAGAATGATTTTAATACAGGTAAGACAGTTTTTACTGCACGTTTACCTTTTCAATGACTGTTTTGTACTATAAAATAACCGTAGTATATTTGATTCTGTTGTTCTTTCCTTCACTTGTCCCCTTGCTTCCTTTGCATTCATGGGCCCACTGGCTTCTTCAGTTTAATTTGTATCACTATAATATAATGAAAATCCATTTATGCTTATTATCCTTTTTCACTTGATTAACTGATCCCTATTTTAAAAACTTTTCTTTTAGTCACCGATTCAAGCATAGCTTAGTGGATAAGACACATATTACAATTCTGAAAGCCAATGGTTCGGTCCTTTATCCACGTGGTCGTTCAACTAGAATAATCTTTCTATTAGTCCATCCCTGCCTTTAACAAAATTTTGGAATATTCTTGGTTTGCAGGGTTTTTTTTTTTTGTTGGATTGAACTAAATGAGGCTGTATATTATCAGTATCTTATATATAAAACATAGAACTAAATGAGGTTTATTTTTTACTCTAGTTATAACGGATGCTGGAAAAAACTTATATGTTTTCTCTCTCACATTTTCCTTCTTTCTCTCCTTTGTTCCTACGTGATTGTTGGCTCTCTGATGTTATGTTATGTTGATTATTTATTTATGCAGTATCTTTGAGAGCACCAAAGTGGTATAAACGTCCAGTTGGGGCCTCTTTTGGATTTGGAGGAAAGTTAGTATCATTTCAACCTAAGACTCCTATTGCTGGTGCTTCAGAGGTATTTATTTATTCCAGTGGTTAATTTGAATTTCTTGACGGCTAGTTCATTTTCACCCCCTGTATTTATTTCCAGGTTTATGTGCATGACTTGGTAATGGAGCACAGTTTGGTTACTCGTTCATCTGAATTTGAAGCTGCAATACAAAATGGTGAACGCTCTTCTCTCAGGGTTTTATGCGATCAGAAGTCTAGAATATCCGAGTATGTCATTCTTCTTTCAATTTGTCTCCATCTCTGATTTTTTTTTATTTTCTTTTTTTTTGCTTTCTTGTTTCGATAGAAATAAGTGGTGGTTAACTGTTGTAATGTCTTAAACAGTTTGGAGGATGACCGGGAAACATGGGGGTTCCTGAAAGTCATGTTTGAAGATGATGGTACTGCAAGGACGAAGCTTCTTAGCCATCTTGGATTTAGCGTATCAACTGAATCGCAAGACTCACAAGGAGAGATTTCCCAGGATGTAGGTGCTCTCCAACTGAATGATGCAGTAGCAGCAGATAATATTGGATATGGGGATGGTAGAGAGGCCACGTTATTTCCGTCTGACAATGGGGAGGACTTCTTTAACAATCTGCCCAGTCCAAAAGCTGATACACCTTTATCAACTGCTGGTGATAACCATGCTGCTGAGGATACTGTTGCTGCAGAAGAACCACAAGTTGAGGAGGGAGTGGAAGACAATGGAGTTTCATCATTTGCTGATGGTGTGCAACGGGCATTGGTTGTTGGTGATTATAAGGGGGCTGTTGGGTTGTGTGTATCTGCAAACAAAATGGCTGATGCCTTGGTTATTGCTCACGTTGGCGGTGGATCCTTGTGGGAGAATACACGAGATCAATATCTAAAAATGTCCCATTCACCGTACTTAAAGGTGGCTGAAACTTTATCCAGTTCTCACGAAGCTGTGGATATTAACAATTTTTTTTTGTTTTACTGTTTTGGTACTTCGAAGCTTTATTAAAGCCGTAGTCATGCTTGATTGTCTCTGAGAATGAGGCTTCACAAACTAATTCTCTACGTTTTATTTTTTCTCCATCAGATTGTTTCTGCAATGGTCAACAACGATCTATTGAGCCTTGTGAATACGAGGCCCCTGAAATTCTGGAAAGAAACACTTGCCCTTCTCTGCAGTGTAAGTTTTATATTTATTTTGGAAAAAAAAATCTCTAGAAAAATGGCGATGTCAACATTTGTTTGCTGGAATTTGTGTGCAAGGGATCTTTATGCACTATATCTATAAGAGGGGATGCTGAGTTGGTCACTAAAAATTGTCTTGGACTTGTACCCACCGTGTTATGAGTTTCTTCCTTGTTGCCTTTATCTTGCAAACATGCCGTCTACTTTTTATGTTAAATAGTAGTTACTTCACTGTTTCCTGGAAATAAATTCCCTAGAAATGCTTCTAGTTACACTTTCATGTTGCTGATAAAGCTTCAATTTTCATCTATAGACTGTATTGCTAATTATGTTAATAAAGCTCCAGTTTTCATCTGTGGACTGTATTGTCCAGGAAAGTCTGGAAGCAATTCGCACTAGATTATGTTGCTTATCAAGCATTTGAATCTTACTATAAGTTAACGTGTCTTTCAGTATTCATGTTTGTTGTCGAAGGTATCTGATTTCTCTGAAAAATTAATGTTCTAAAGGTATTACAACAAGCATTTGAATCTTACTATAGGTTAATGTGTCTTTCAGTATTCATGTTGATTGTCAAAGATATCTGATTTCTCCGAAAAATTAATGTTATTGTTGTTGTATCAACTAACAGTTTGCACAAAAAGATGAATGGACCATGCTCTGTGATACTCTTGCTTCAAAACTTATGGTTGCCGGTTACACACTTCCAGCAACTCTGTGCTTTATATGTGCTGGAAATATTGATAAAACTGTTGAAATCTGGTCGAGGAGCTTGTCTACTGATCGTGAAGGAAAATCTTATGTTGATCTTCTTCAGGTGAGTGTACTTTAAGAGATAATATTGAACATATGTATTGGGCTATAAAGTTGAACGTGCCTTCTGTCTTGGTTAGGATTTGATGGAAAAGACTATTGTGCTTGCTTTGGCCACTGGACAAAAGAGATTTAGTGTAACTTTATGCAAGCTTGTTGAGAAATATGCTGAAATATTGGCAAGTCAAGGACAGCTAACAACGGCCTTGGAGTATATTAAGTTATTGGGATCTGAAGAATTGACGCCTGAACTTGTGATCCTGAGAGATAGAATTTCCCTCTCTACAGAATCTGGTGAGTGCTCTGTCATTAAAACGTTGGTTATTCTATCATATAATGTCCTGAGGTTGACTATGTGATATAAATTTTGGAAAAACTGAACTGGTTAGATTATTAGTTCTACAATAAGTTCAATACTAAGAGAGTCAAAAAGCTTCAGCATTTAGATGTTATTTCTAAGCAAGAACGTTACTTTGTCACAGATAAAAACAACAAGGCATCGACTATTGAATACTCTCAGCAACCAAGTGAAAATATGTATGGTGCTGAAGCCACCAAACATTATTATCAGGTGTCCTATCTTCCTTTTCTTTCATGCTGCCATATGTTTTCTGGTTTTAGCTTCTTTGAACCTGGCGGTATATGCCTTGCTTCTTGGAATTCTGCATTTAACTTCTCTTGTCGATGACATAGGAGTCTGCTTCAGCACAATTCCATCAGAATATCCCTAGCACCACATACAACGATAACTATGCCCAGACTGCATATACGGGGAGAGGATACGCTGCTCCTACACCATATCAGCCTGCAGCACAGCCTAATTTATTTCTTCCATCACAGGCGCCACAGGCTCCAGAGGTATACAAATCTATTAGAGTCGAACAAGGACACCTAAATCCAATGAATTTAGGCATAATTAAAATTAGGCTTTAATGACACTACGGAATTCATATATAACATTTGATTACTCCAAAACAGTCTTAAAAATGTAAATGAACTCATAATACTAAGCTGAAAAATTATTTAAAAAATGTAAAATACGATGAAACTGTAGCATTTTCCTTCTAATTGTTATCGTCTCACATTAGTCTAGTATTGTCCTGCCATATCTTTGGTGGAAAGCCAGTCGTTGGGATCTTCTTGGGGTGCAATGCCCATGTAATTTTAAGGATGATTAATGATATCTGCCTTGTCATTATATGTAAGATATTTCTCCTGATGATGCTTGAAGGTCTTTTAGGAATTGGGTTGTCTGACAATAATAATTTGTTTTTGGTTTTAGACAAATTTCACTGCACCCCCTGCTCAGCCTGCTTCGAGGCCATTTGTTCCTGCAACACCTCATGCTTTGAGAAATGTGGAAAAATATCAACAGCCCACTTTGGGTTCTCAGTTGTACCCTGTTCGTAATTCTTCTTCATTGATGAGTACTTAAAATCCTACCATTTTTAGTGTAAAATATTCTTTTTATTGATTATGTAATAATTGTTTCTCAAATATTTTAGGGAACTGCAAACCCTACTTATCAACCTATACAATCAACTGCTTCAGTTGGTTCTGTCCCATCACACATGGACCCAGTTCCTGGGCATACAATGCCTCAGGTTGTGGCTCCCGCTCCTCCATCAAGGGGATTCATGCCAGTTCCTAATCCAGGAACTGTTCAGCTTCCTGGTATGGGTTTGCCTCAGCCATCCAGCCCTCCTACACAATCTACTCCAACACAGCCAGCGCTAACAGCTCCGGCTCCACCACCAACCGTGCAGACTGCTGATACTTCAAACGTACCTGGTAATTGTTCGTTTCAGTTAACTATTTGTTTAACAGAAAATTTTTATTTGAGATCCTGTATCGATTTTTGATTTTTTATATTTGACCACTAATAAGAACGTAGTTTGGATTTCCCCAAAACCATGCTGGGGATTTTAGATGCATTTAATGTTTTCAACATTGCATTAGCCCTGAACAAGGACTAATGGCTAACGTTATAAGGTGTCATGAAAACTAACTTCCAGATGTGGCCTCTATACCTGCAGTTCAGCTGCTCTCAGTTGGTTCACGTATTGAATGATTAATGCATTCTTGGTTTTGAATCTCATAGAAATTATGAAAAATAAAAAACCACCTAGGATTAAATTTTTTTTTTTACAGAACGGTGATAGAAATTAGAACATAAGTATATATTCTGCTATCATTTTCCGGAAATTTATGCTCATTTTGTACGCACATTCATATTTAGATACAATAATTGGTTAACATCTGCAGCTCATCAAAAAGCTGTGGTAGCAACGTTGACTAGACTTTTCAACGAGACCTCAGAAGCATTGGGAGGCGCCCGTGCAAATCCAGGTAAGAAGCGGGAAATTGAAGACAACTCGAGGAAGATAGGTGCATTGTTCAGCAAACTGAACAGCGGTGATATATCTAAAAATGCTGCTGAAAAGGTTGGTCAGCTCTGCCAGGCTCTGGATGCTGGCGATTATGGCCGTGCCTTACAAATTCAGGTACTTGTTATATGCAGTTCTTACTAGTTTGTTTTGTCCAAATCCAGAACGAGATAAATTATCTACCGCTGCATATAGGTTCTTCTTACGACAAGCGAATGGGACGAGTGCAGCTTCTGGCTGGCTACGCTGAAACGAATGATCAAGACGAGGCAGAACATGAGGTTGAGTTAGGGAAGACACATGATAGCCATTTCTGTTTTTTTTTTTTTTCTCCTTTTTTTGGAAATTATTTTTCCTTCTTATAGCTCTACCCTTCTTGTGCCACCAATCCTTACACACACACACACACGCACACACACACAAACACAAGAATGGCGTCCCTTGATGATTGCAGCTTCCGGATTTTGCCCCAATGTTCTCCTCTATGAGCTTGTCTGGTTTCAAATTGAAAGAGTTAGCTCTCAAGTATAACTGATTGTTGTTCTTATTTTGTAGTTTAGAATTGAGGAGAAAGTCCCATTTTGAATGAATTTATCTTTCTTCATTTTATAAATGCATCCCTGAGCCGTTTCTTAGCTTGCATATGCTCCATCCTTGTTAGAGTGTCTACTTTCATTGTACCTTCCATTGACATATCCTAATTTTCTTAAACCTGGTTTTCTAGAAATGGTGATAGCTCATGTCTTTCATTGAATAAATGACTCAGAAACAGCCTAATTTTAAGTTTAAGTTGGTGCCTTGTCTGAAGTGGGTGCACTGTTTTGTAGACAATACGGTTTGGAAACTGCAATGAATCAATTTGAACAATATGAAAGAGATGAAAGTTCTTTATAGGGTACACGTCTCGTTTTTTCTTTTATTAAGTTCCAGGGAGTGAATAATTCAAAACTTTGACATCTAATCAATTGAACTATGTTCGTATTGACAACCTTTTCTTTCATTGTTATAAATATTCTCTTGTTCTCGTCCTTAGCAGCATTATGAGGTAACCGGTAAGTTTATAAATCTTGTTATATTATCTCTATCGAATGCTTTACTTGTAAATGTAGCCTCTCTCTTCTTCATAGTTATAAGTAGTTATTAGGTTAATTATTGTTGTTAATATGTAATTAAACAAGATGTCAAACATCACAATGATATTAAAAAAGGGATAATTATTGGATCTAAAGTCAAAAAGAGGAGAGGCATGTGCACCACTTTTGAACACAAATTAGGTGTCAAAGCCTTGAGAAGTGGAAGGGGAATATTCAAACTCTTGCTTTTGGCTAATAATGCCTTACACAGCCATAGCCTTCATACATTTCTTCAACTTCTTCATACATTTCTTCAACTTCTTCATACATTTCTTCAACTTCTTCATACATTTCTTCAACTTCTTCATACATTTCTTCAACTTCTTTGGGTTATCCATTGTCTTTTAGTATTTGGCTATAACTAGGGTTTGTTTTTTTTCTAAAAAGAGAGATTCAAATTAAAATAAATTAACGGAGTTTTCATTATAATTTTCATTATAATGAGAAAACACCACCACCTATACCGAACATAATTGAATAGTAAAACATTATCACCTTAACTGTAGTGATTGATTGATTGATCTCTAATATAGTACTTGAAAAGACTAACTTTATTTACTTTTTATTGCTGCGTAGTTTAAAGAATCAATAAAAGATTTAGGAAAAAAAAACTTTCGAAAAAAATTAATCGGACAATTTTGGCAAATGGAAAATGGGTTGTGGGGTTGTGATTTTTTTAAATTTTGCAGCTTTTCTTGACACGAGTCAAAAGTAGCCCCTTTAATCACGGATGGAAATAGGGTGAGTTTTAAGAGGAAAATGTTACGAGAGTACGTGAACCGCTACAACTACATAATATACATTACCCACACAAATATAATTCATTAATTAAGATGTATGTTCTTATTCGTCTTTTGAGGTCGATCAAATATTAGGTGTCTTTTATAGATGTGTAACCATTTGCATGATGTAAGTGTCCAAGTCCTCTCGAGTAATTTGTAGAACAACTATCGAACGCCCTCTTGATCGAAGTTTCAAGAAAGGAAGTACGAGTACAGTAACTAGCAAATCAGGAAAGCAAAACCCTTTTGAGATAGGTGCCGGATAAGGAATAGTTGTGAATAAACTTGCTTGTAGCTACGGCTATCATCTAAAGAAATCTAAAAACGAAATCGTTATTAAATGCGCTTCAAAAATAAACTAGTGGGGCATGTGTAAAGTCTCAAGCCCACAACTAGTATATATTATTCTCTTTAGGTTTCCCCTCAAGGTTTTAAAACGCATCGGTTAGGGAGAGATTTTCGTACCTTCGTAAAGAATGTTTCGTTCTCCTTTCGAGATCACCCCACGTTACTACGTTTGCAGTAAGAAACTTCACAAGTGGGTATGAACTCATCAAAATCAAGGCGCACACGGAGAGTGGACATTACAAGTCAACAGTTGGGTGAAGCTGGTTGTCAGTTTCTATATGTTTTCTTGTGTTTGGACAAGAGATGATCCTTATTCTCCTCAAAGAACTGTATCCTTTGGACCAAGCAATCACCTCCTTTGCCTTCATATTCACCCTATACCACTGCCAAACACACACACTTTTCCAAATGGAAAACAATGGAATTGGAGAACACTGAAAGATTCGACAAAGAGTTCGTTCATCCAAAGAAAGCTGTCTCACTTGCGTGCAAGTAAAGACCTGCACAGCTTTTTAGCGATTATTCGAGTATCGAGATTAGTTCTTATTTGAAACCCCTTTTTGTTACTCACTACGAAGGTATGTAATTTCATGTTTTTGGTTTCGAGGTTTCGTAGTTTCTATTCTTGGAGAGTCTTTAAGTTTTGTAGCGTTGAGCTTTTGGTTTTAGCACACCTCGATTGATCACGAGACAACAACTACATCACATATCGTTTCGAAACTCGAGTACCATAGTTTAAACTCAATGACTTCATTGAAAAGAATCTTTATCATGAATATAAAGACTCAATTTACCAGACCATATGAACAATCAGCAATCAGTCAAGAACATAATCAACAAATAAGAGGGAACATCAGCAATGTGCCCATGATCTATAATCAACCATGATTGAGATGATCATTAGATTAAGAACTCGAAAGAAAATCAAGCAGCCAAAAATTTACCTCACAAGTCAGCCAGCCAAGCTCTGATGCAGTGTCAGATAGTTTATTGAATTGAACTGTGTGTGTCGTGAACAGGTTGATCGTTTGAATCTTCAAGAACATAACTCAGAAGCTTTCACTTTGCTTCCAATTCATGATTCTTTCCACTAACGAATCTCGAACTAAAGAACCGGTTTGAGAATCTCGAATGAGACCTGACATGGTTAGTCTCAGCCCAAAAACCAGAATCTTCGTCAATACAAGCCATGAGATCCATCAAGTTACTACTGATCCCCAAGTCAGAGTATACTCTCCTCGAGTTCTTAATGTCTCGCCACAACGTTTGCGCATCCATATCCCCATCTTCAACACTACGACTTCTCAAATTCAACTGCGAGCTCCTCGTTTCCACCGGCCTTCCAACGGTCTCCACCATCAAACATGGATTGTTGAAGCCATTCCATGAATGAAGAGGAACCAGTTTACTCAACCCAGTAAGCCAATGAACCACATCTTTCATGGAAGGCCTCCTTTCTCTACAAGACCTCACACATTTAGCAGCAATCACAGCCAATTGCTTTGTAACAATGGCGTCTTTAGGAGGAGCAATTCTAGGATCATAAATGGCCATTAACTTCCCTTTCTTAATAAGAGGAACAGCCCAATCAACAATGGAAGGAGGGGAATATCCAACATCTATAGCCTTCCTTCCACTAATAATCTCTAACAACAATATCCCAAAGCTAAACACATCAGTTTTAGTACTCAAATTATCAGGGGTCACATAACAAGGATCAAGGTACCCCATGGTGCCCGCAGGGGGCGTCGAACGGAGGCGATAATCATCGGCATAGCCCTGAATGGCCAACCCGAAATCCCCCAACCTAGCGTTGTAATTCCTGTCAATCAACACATTGGCAGACTTGATATCTCTATGAATTACAGGGGGGTTTGAAGCATGAAGAGTTTCAATGGCCTTAGCAGTTTGTAAAGCTAATCTAATCCTTCGACCCCAATAAAGAGGTCTGGAACCTGAATGAATCACATCATAAAGCGTACCATTACACATAAATTCAACAACAAGAAGCCTGTCTTTGGAATCATTTGTAAAACCCACCAAATTCACCAATCTAGGGCTCTGAATTTTGGACAAAATCTCGATCTCATTATCAACCTCGTTGGTGATTTCACAAGACGCCATTGACGAAGCCATCGAAGGAGCAATCGCCTGAGCTCGAGAGGGCTTCTTCACCGCAACAAGACGACCACCAAGAACAGCTTTATAGACATATCCATGGCTGCCTTTTCCCAAAAGCTTCTGATCGGAGAAGCCATTAGTAGCAGCCTCAAGATCACTGTAATCAAACTGTTGGATCTTAATGGGTTTCTTCTCTAATTTGTGCGACAAATTTCTCGAAGATGATGGGGTTAACGAATTCGAAGTCGAAATCGCAGATTCCGACCGGCAAGAAAGGTAACCCATCAAATCAATATATCGATTCACAGAGCTTTCAACAAGAACAAACTGCTTCTCCTTGGCATTTAAGAGATGGGTTTTTGGGTTTTTTGAGCTCTGAGGATTGGAAACGAAAATGGTTATGTAAGAGAGAAAAGAAGAGAAGAAATGGAATGAAAACCGCCGTTGAATCAGAAAATTGTAGTCTAATGAAGAAGAAAACAAAACCCATCAAATCCAACTAATTTCCGTATATACTGTATTTGATTCTCACGTTTCCACTCAAGATTTGGAATTTTTCTTTTAAAAAAAAGGAAGAATCATCCAACTTTTGAACTTAATTATAAAAAATTTGATTTAATCTATACTTTATCCATTAATATGTATGCTTATACTCATTGGTTTTTTTTTTTTTTTTTTCAAATTTATAAATTTTTTAGTGAAAATCTCACATCAACCCAAACCTAACTCAAGTAAATATTCAAAGTTCTTACCATTCGAATAGGAATTTTACTATATTTCAAACTTCAAATTTGTTCTTTTTACTTCAAAGAATAAGAAATGGGTCTATTGATTATTAAAGAAGGCATCTATTGATTATGATAGGAGTGATCGAGGGGAAAAGAAGAATCGTTAGAATGTAAACATCACCAATTAGCTAGTGAAGTCAAGTCACTTGAGGATCACTTCATGTTCATTTCTTTTCTTTTTTTTTTCTTTTTTTCTTTTATTTTTTAAATATTTGCCCTTCACACCCATTAAATTAGGATTTGGGTTCGGGTTCGGGTTCATTCATGGTACAAGATTACATGAGAAAGACTAGAATACTCATCCCAATCTTCAAAAAGATCGTGTTATCCCATTTTAACCAAAGACTCTGTATCTCACCAAACATATCTCCAACTAGTTTTGATCATGTCGTCTTTAGTTGACCTCACTCTTTGAGTTCAACAAAAGAACGGTTCTAACCTTCCAAACCTACCATTAATAGATATTGTCCACTTTGACCGATTATATATCGTCATCAGCCTCACAATTTTTAAAATGAGTCTAGTAGAAAGAGGTTTCCACACCCTTATAAATATTTCGTTCCCTTCTCCAACCGCCAACGAATCTCAATCATTTTATAAAATTAAATTTTATGAAATTAAATGAGTTTAAGGTGGTCGGTTGAAATTATGGGCTTTTGACAGTCCAAAATATGTAATGGGCTTCCAATTTTTGCAGCCCATAGCTTAGTTGTTTTCTTTAATATTTATTTATTTTTATTTTTTCGTTTTTAAAAAATTATTCATTTAGCAAATGTAGGTTTTACTTATATTTATTTATAAAACAATTTGAACAATATTTTTATGTTTTTGAATAATTATATTTTAAAAAAATAAAGATTTGTTTAATTAACTCATATAATATAAATTATATAATATGGTAAAATAATTATTACATAAAATATATTTATATAGTAACCAGTAATAGTTGGATTATTTTTAATTATTTATTTGTGGAAAATTAAAAAAAGAAAAAATAAATTAAATCTATAAAATTGCATAATAGGGCCTGGTGCTAACCTCCTCCAATATCATTTCAATTTCTAGAGAGAGAAAGAGAGAGAAACAATGGAGGGAGAGATCCTCAACTTCATCAAGGTCTGGTTAACAGTCTGTATCTCTCTCTGTTACTGCCACGCCACCGGAAAACTTCTCGCTCCTGGCCCCGGCAGGTTCCTCGCCGTCGCCCCCATCGTCGTCCTCTTCTTTCTCCTTCCTCTGCAACTCACCTCCATCCACCTCGGCGGCTCTACCTCCTTCTTCATCGCTTGGCTCGCCAACTTCAAGCTCCTCCTCTTCGCTGCCGGCGATGGCCCTCTATCCGCCGAACCGCCGCTCCCTCTCCGCCGATTTCTCGCTCTCTCTTGCTTGCCGATCAAGATCCTCCAAAACGAGAAATCGTGCCCTAATAATAATCGATCCGATACAACCCTAAAACCTAAATCGTTCCTCAACTACTCGATTAAAGCCGTAATCGTTGCTCTGATGGTGAAATTGTACGATTACTCTGAGTTTATTCACCCGAAAGTTGTTCTGTTCATCTATAGTTGGCATCTTTACTTTCTTCTGGAGATTATATTAGCCATTACGCAGTTTTTCGGCCGGAACGTTCTCGGAATCGAGTTGGAGCCGCAGTTTCAAGATCCGTATTTCTCGACTTCGCTTCAGGATTTTTGGGGGCGGCGGTGGAATCTGATGGCAACGAACATTCTTCAGCCGACAGTTTACAAGCCGTCGGTGAAGATCGCTGCCAAGGTAATCGGGCGTAAGTGGGCACCGTTGCCGGCGGTGATGGCGACGTTTTTAGTATCGGCGATGATGCACGAACTGATATTTTACTATATGGGCCGAATGAGGCCCAACTGGGAGTGTACTTGGTTCTTTGTTATCCATGGCGTTGCTTTGACGGTGGAGATTATGGTGAAGAAGGTGTTGCCGGAGAAGTGGCGGCTGCCTCCGGCAGTGTCAGTGCCGGTGACTCTGGCTTTCATCTTCCCGACTGCGATTTGGTTGTTTTTCCCGCAGTTCGTGAGGTTGAAGTTGGACGTGAGGGCGTTTGAAGAGTACGCCGCGTTGGTCACTTTTGTAAAGAACGTCGCTTTCTCATTGGTCGGTTGATTTATTTTTGTTTTCTTTTTCTAAATAACAATTTAAAAATGTCACTGGCACCGCCAGTAGCAGGTGGTAATAAAAAAATTGCAAAACAGGGGCCGACATTTACTGCTCCACGTGTTATGCCTTTTTCTATAAATAAAATAAAATAAAAAACCTAAATTCCACGCCCTTTATTTTTAAATTTTTAGATTTTTAATTTACAGACCAGTCCATTAATATTTTTTTTTATTAATTTTTAAAAAAATTATATTTTTAATTTATCACATTTTAAATTATTAATTTTTTTTATTTAAAAGTATTTTTTCTTTCAAAAGCTATTCCAAAAACAAATTATTAAACAAAATAATATAAAAATTAAAATTTTCTCATATTACGTGCGCTCCATGTTTTTAAATGAAATAAATTGTGGTCTATTAATGATCTCTTTATTTGTAAATTCCGAGAATAGAACCTTTCTTTAAAATATATTTTAATATCTTATTTTATATATTATTCATGAGATAATTTTATTTATTTTAAAATTAAAACTATAGCGTTGTGAGAGTAATTAATTAATTAAAGATCTTTGTAATCATATTATTTAATGTTTTTGGTATGTTCAATTTGATCTAGTGTATTAAACATTTGATTAAATCCTTATAATATTATTTACAATTACCTACGTGGCCGGGTAATCATATATTAAGGCGCCTACTTTTTTAGCACTAAACAATATTATATTATTTTCTCATTATTTATTATTTCAATTAAATAAAATACACGACTGACTAACGTGTCCAACGTCATAAGTACATTACAAAGTAATTTTGGGTAATTATAAGAAAATGCTTAATTTTTAAAATTTTTATAATTGAGTCACCGAAAATAAATACGATAAGATAGAAAGGAATGGAAAAGAAAAAGCAATTGGGCATTGGCAGGCGGAGCTCCGGCGAAGTGTGGAAGAATGGAGGATGAGATTGGGAAGTTGTTGAAAGTGTGGATTTCAATATGGATCTGTTTGGGGTATTGCTACGGCGTTGGCAAGAAAATTGGAGAGGGATTTACAAGATTTCTCTTCATTTTCCCTGTCATTTGCATCTTCCTCTACCTTCCCCTCAATCTCCACTCCCTCCATCTCGGCGGTCTCACCGCGTTTTTCGTTGCTTGGCTCGCCAATTTCAAGCTCCTCCTCTTCGCCGCCGGTCAAGGCCCTCTGGCCACCACCGGGATGTCTATCGGTATGTTTAATCATTTCTTCATCTTCTTAATTCTGTTTCTTAAATCCCCACCAAACTCAAGAAATTCTACTCTTTCCGACAGCTGAATTCTGCGCAGTGGCTTCCTTCCCCATCAAAATTAAGCAAATCCCGTCTTAAAAAAGCTCTGAGCCACCCAATAATGGTGGAGCAGCCACCGTAATTGATCCAAAATCCAACCAGAACCACCGCGAATCGCCATTTAACTACGCCGTCAAGATCTTGCTTGTGGCGGCGCTAGTCAAGGCCTATGACTACACCCACATTCTCCCTCAGAAGCTCGTCTGGTTCCTCCTCTGTTTCCACATCTACTTCATCCTCGACCTCAGCTTCGCCGCCGCCTCTGCCGCCGTCTCCCACGGCGGTACCATCGAGCTCCTCCCCCTCTTTCATCATCCCTACCTCTCCACTTCCCTTCAAGACTTCTGGGGTCGCCGATGGAACCTCGCCGTCACCGGAATCCTCCGTCCCGTCGCATACCGCCCTGCCGTCTCTACCGCCACGAAACTCATCGGCCACCGGTGGGCCCCACTCGCCGGAGTGGCGGCGACATTCCTGGTGTCGGCGGCGATGCACGAGCTGATGTTCTTCTACATGTCGCGACAGTGGCCGCCACCGACGTGGGAGGTGGCGGCGTTCTTCGTCCTGCACGGTGGGTGTCTGGCGGTGGAGATGGTGGCGAAGAGGCTGTGGATCGATGCGTGGAAAATGCCGCCGCTACCGGCCGCGGTGTCAGTGCCCGTGACGGTGGGATTCTTCTTCTGGACGTGCTTTTGGCTCTTCTTTCCGCCGTTCATCAACACGTGTAAGGCTGACGTCAGGGTGGTTAAGGAGTACGAGATATTTGGCGCGTTTCTGAAGAATAATATTATTCCAACTACATTTTTTCCCTCCAAATGAGGGAAATTAAAATATATAATTAGGGTGAAATTACAAGTTTGTCCAACATGAGCCCCACTTTTTATTAATAAAATTATATATATGCTCATTTTAAATATTTATTATTATTATTATTTTTTGGTTTTCTTATCCATGAAAATATACCAGAGAACAAACTAAAATTTAAGGATGTTTGGTTGTCTTCCCCCGATCAATATGAATCTCACAATTCAATGCTTTAAGGGCACAATTCAATGCTTTAAGGGCTCAATGTCCTCATTAGCACTTATTCACTTGTCCAATTGATGTGGGATTCCTCAATCCACCCCTTTAGGGTCCAGCGTTTTTGGCTAGCACACCACCCCCGTGTCTACCCCTCTCGAAGCTCAGCCTCCTATTATGAAATCCCACATAGATTGGGGAAGAGAATGAAGCATTCTTTACAAAGGTGTGGAAACCTCTATTTAATAGACGTATTTAAAACTTTTAAACGGAATGTCAAAATAAAAAACTAAAAAAGAATAATATTTAATAGCACTGTCTTACCTTCCAAAAAGAGTTAATTAGTTAATTAATATAATAATAATGTTAGTGCTAATACTAAAATATAAAATACTTGGAAAATAATTTTTTATTCAAATAAATATTTGGAAACTTACAGAATCGGTAGCCTGGCATTTGAGACCAAAAAAATAATTGAAAGAAATTAATTGTGTGCAACCTCTACAAATAAAAGAAAGTCAAAAGTCAAGTAGAGCTGGAATACAACTTTTGATTTATTATTTTTTAATATATATATTTAACCATTTTTTTTAATAATCATGCAAAAGAATAAGTATATTATAAAAATAAAATATATTTATAAATAGGATCCCTCGTATATCTTATTTTTCAGAAGAATTAATCATTCATCTATTAAAAAAATATTTAAATTAAAAAAACAGAATTAATTTTACACCAACTTATTTAGAACCAAAATCATTGCATTGCTTAATTTGATGGATAAATAAATAAAATTATTAGCGATCAAAATATGATAATCTTATATTTTTCATTGTACACGTTACTCTATCGATCTTATTTTTATTGTGCACCTTGTGAGTGTGTTTAGATCCACGGAGGCAACCACTTAGATGTTCTCCTAACCCCACACAGGGACGGACTGGTGGGAATGTCTGCATCTCGTCACAATGCTCGTTTTCAATTGTTGGTCATAGAGAGATTTATTTGATCAAGGGTCGGGGAATAAGGATCCTGATACTGTCCAGGTGCAACAACGGGGAGTCAAAAAATCAAATGATTTAATTATCGCCCTACAATTGATGAATTAAACTCGTTACGTTTCTTACCACTATCTCGATCCCACTAAATCCTATTGAACTTATTCGGAACGGTGCATCAGATCACTAAAGCTTACTCTCGTCCGTGAAAAGAAAAAAAAATTGTAACGTGGTGTTTTAAAGCATAATAAAAAATTATTAAGAAGCATTGCGTCATGGACACATAAAAACAGATCTCCGTTCATATTAAAAGGGGAGTGCATCGGAGGAAGAGGAAGAGGAAGAACAGGCCACCATTTTTGAAGTCTTTTTCGATCTCAAGCTTCTCGGATTCTCCATTAATGGCGGCTGAGATTCTGATCTTCCTTCAAACTCTGCTTCAGGTTTCATCGTCCCTCTGTTTCTGTTTCTCAATTAGAAACTCAATCCCCAATGGATTCCTCAAATTCCTCTTAATCCTCCCTTTCTTCCTCCTCTTCCTCTACATTCCTCTGCAATTTCAGACCCTACATCTTCAGGGCGCCATCGGCTTCTTCATCGGCTGGCTTGCCAGTTTCAAGCTCCTCCTCTTTGCATTCGGCAAAGGTCCTCTCTGCTCCGCCGTCGCTTCCTCCTCCCTCCGCCGCTTCCTCCTCGTCGGTTCTCTGCCGATCGACATCTACGATCACGACTCGGCTTCGACCCGACCCGATACCAATTCGGTTCTTCCTCTGAGCTTATCGTCAAAATTGTTCTTCCTAAGTCTCTCCATCGCAGCAATCTATTGCAAGAATTACTTCCATCCAAACGGAACCCTAATCGTTTTCTGCTTCGTAATTTACCTCCTCCTTGAAATTGTCCTCGGCGGAGCCGCCGCCGTTGCCAAGGCAACGCTCGGAGTCGAGTTATTGCCTTGTTTCGACGAGCCCTATTTATCTTCTTCGTTACAGGACTTTTGGGGTCGGCGATGGAATTTAATGGTCTCCAGAATCCTCCGCCTCTCCGTCTACGATCCATGCCGGAATTTCGCCGCGGCCATCGTCGGGAGGAAACCGGCGGCGATAATGGCGACGACGGCGACGTTCGCCGTCTCCGGTCTGATGCACGAACTGATATACTTCTACCTGGGGAGACTGGCGCCGACTTGGGAAGTAACTAGTTTCTTTCTGGTACATGGATTTTTCTTGGCGGTGGAGATGGCGGTGAAGAATGCAGTCGGTGAGAGATTCCGGCCGCCGCGAATTGTGACGGTGCCGCTGACGATCGGGTTCGTGATGGTGACGAGTTTTTGGCTGTTTTTCCCGCAGTTTTTCAGGTTTAAACCGGACGTTAGAATGTTTGAAGAGCACGCGGCTATGGGCGCGTTTGTTAAGAATGTGGCGGCCGAGTTGATCACATCCGTCAAACTCATCTCATTTCAAGTTAAATAATTGTTTTTACATTTTCAAGGAAATAAATAAATAAATAATTGGATTAAATTGTACTTGTTACAAAATGTGTAATATTTAATCTTTTATTTTTATAAATATTAAAATATATATATATATATATATATATATATATATATATATATATATATAAACACTATTTAAAAAAAATTAATCTAATTTTATCTTAAGCTTTTTTAATTAATTTATTTAAATCATATGTAGGCATGAACCGGTCAAACCGTCCCTGAACCGGACTGGAAAAAACCGCTTTTGAATTTTTGGGTTTTATAATTCTGAAGCAAATCAAGATCGAAATGGATGAGAATCCTATCCGCCAACGCGAGCGCGGACATTTGCCCATCTGGGTCATCGAAAACGATCTCTTCTAAGCTAACCCATTTCCCTATTTTCTCTCATCTCTCTCTCTGAAATGGGTGTTTTTTCTTCCCCTTCTATAAGCCATTATCCAATGGCTCGTCCCTGCAATCTTGGCTCCCTTTCCCGTCATGGGTTCTCTTCTCTTTCCCTTAAACCTCCTGCTTTCTCTACTGGAGGTAAGAAATTTCATGGGTTTGGCCTTATAAGAGCCTCTGTTGCTGTGGAGCAGCAGGCAGAGAAGACCAAGGTCGCTCTCGTCAGAATTGGCACCAGGGGAAGGTGATTTTTTGGATTTGCTTTTGGTTTGATGTTTCTGGGATGTCTTTAGTTTCTAATTTTGAGTCTGCGGCTGATTTGAATTTGATAGTGTGGGGCTTTCATGTGGCATTGAATTGATGGTTGGATGGTTTGGATCAGTTCATGTTTCAACTGTGATTTGTTTTTGATATCTTGTAGAATTGTGAAAAATTTCAGTATAGTTATCATGTTTGCACTTAAATCAACCATTCTGGTGCTGTCTAGACTTGCATGTGTTACTCTTATTCAACTGAAGAAGTACTTTTCTTGCTGCCTCTTTATGGGGAGGAGTGAAGGAGAGGTCCTTATAGGAGGTGTGAGGGCTGGTGAGATTTAATAGCTTTCTGTAGGCATTTGTTACTCGAACCTTTTGTAACTATCTGTCTGGTCTTGTGCTTTTGGATTGGAGAACGTTCTTGTAGGTCAACGAGGATTCCTTTTGTGGGATTGTTTTTCGTACGTCCTTATAATTTGTTTGCTTATCGAGAATGGAAATTGCATTCTTTTTGTGGTTGTAAATGTAACAGCCCAAGCCAACATTGAGCCTTGAAGGAAGTGGATTGTGAGATCCCTCGTCGGTTGGGAGGAGAACGAAACATTCTTTATAAGGGTGTAAAAACCTCTCCCTAGTATACGCATTTTAAAAACCTTGAGAACCTTGAGGGGAAGCTCGAAAGGGAAATCCCAAAGAGGATAATCCCAAAGAAGATAATATCGGCTAACGGTGGGTTTGGGCTTAGGCTGTTATAGTAAATTAGATTATCAAGAACACTAAAAGGGTGGACAATGAACCTAATAAAAGAAAAGAAGATGCCTCACTTAAAATAACGGAGAACCTCCCCGCTCGCCTTTTATTTGCTCGACTTTTGAATTCATTCTCAGAAAAACTATTCATCATGTTTCTCATGTCATCAATCAAATCAGGGCAGTGGTGTTGTTTTAGTTTTAAGATAATTGTTAGGATCCAATCTGCTGCTGTTAGAGTTGAATGAGATCTTTATTAGAAGAGCATGTTTTTGCTGTTAGGAACTAAGGGGCTTGTAATTTTTCATCGAAACCTCGAACTACATGTGAGATCCCACATCAGTTGGGGAGGAGAACGAAGCATTCTTTATAAGGGTGTGGAAACTCTTCCTAACAAACGCGTTTTAAAACCTTGAGGGGAAGCTCAGAAGAGAAAGCTCAAAGAGGACAATATCTGCTAGCGGTGGGTTTGAGCTGTTACACTGCAAGCGTATAAACATAATCTACTTCATTCTCTAGCTGGTTATATGCTTGTTTGATCTAAATCTTGTGCTGGATTGCTTTATCTTCTGGTGTGTCATATGCATTTTTCTGTGTGTAGGACAGCCCATTAGCACTTGCCCAGGCTCACGAGACGAGAGAAAAACTCATGGCTATCCATCCCGAGCTAGCCGAAGATGGTGCCATTCAGATCGTTATAATCAAAACAACTGGTGACAAAATACTCTCTCAGCCACTTGCAGACATTGGTGGGAAAGGACTATTTACTAAAGAGATCGATGATGCACTTATTAATGGTGACATAGACATTGCTGTTCACTCGATGAAAGATGTACCGACGTACTTACCCGAAAAAACAATCCTCCCATGTAATCTACCAAGGGAAGATGTCCGTGATGCATTCATTTCTTTAAGTGTCGGGTCACTCGCTGAGCTTCCAGCTGGAAGTGTCATTGGTACAGCTTCACTCAGAAGAAAGTCTCAGCTTCTGAATAGATATCCATCCCTCAATGTAAGTATGTTGCGTTGCTTAATCGAGAAATGTCTAAAATCACTTCGAGAGTTGATAAGTTATTGATCTAAGCATATAACGAGTGACGTTGTGTAACGGCTCAAGCCTACTGCTAGCAAATATTGTCCTTTTTGGGCTTTCCCTTTCGAGTTTCTTTTCAAGGTTTTTAAAACGTGTTTGCTAAGGAGAGGTCTCCACACCCTTATAAAGAATGCTTTGTTCTTCTCTCCAACCGATGTGGGATCTCACAATCCACCCTCCTTCATGGCGTAGCGTTCTCGCTGATACTCGTTCCCCTCTCCCATCGATGTGGGATCTCAAAATCCACCCCCTTTAGGGCCAGTGTCCTGACTGGCACTCGTTCTTCTCTCCAATCAATGTGGGATCTCACAATCCACCCCCCTTTGGTGCCTAGTGTCCTCGATTGGCATACGACAGTGTTTCACTATCATTGATTGCTTTCTTATACGACACTTAAGAAGATTCCTTAAATTTTGCATTGCATTCCTGTCTTGGTGGAACCATTTACGACTCTGACTTCAAGGATGTCAAAGGATCTTAAATGTTCAATATTGTAGATTGATTCTGATACTCTCTCGCTCGTTTTTTTTCCTTTGTTGGTTGGTGTCATCTGGCAGGTGCTCGAGAATTTTCGGGGCAATGTCCAAACAAGGTTGAGAAAGCTGAATGAAGGAGTGGTCCAAGCAACACTACTGGCTCTAGCTGGACTTCGACGTTTAAATATGACAGAAACCGTTACTTCAATCCTTTCAATTGACGAAATGCTTCCAGCTGTTGCTCAGGGAGCAATTGGGATTGCCTGTCGAAGTGACGACGACAAAATGGTACGTTTTCATTGGCTATGGAAATCAATATTCGCTCATGTTCGTTTGACAAATGGCATTTTATCTACATCTAGTTGAGAAGACTGTCTGTTCGACTCGAATAGATGACTCGTTATGTCCCTATACCATTAAAGTTCATTGCTTAGTTTTTCTCTTGGAAAAATGCTCAATGTCTGAAAAGAACTTGACCTTTGACGTTCAACTTAGTCATTTCCTGTTTGGTTTCTCACTTGCAGGCCAATTACTTAGCCTCATTGAACCATGAGGAAACAAGACTGGCTGTTGTTTGTGAGAGAGCATTTCTCGAGACTCTCGATGGCTCTTGCCGAACTCCGATTGCGGGATATGCTTCGAGAGACGAAGATGGCAATTGTATATTTAAAGGGTTGGTGGCTTCCCCAGACGGAACCCGAGGTGCGAAAAATGTCCGAACTTTTACTCATTCTCATTAGCTTTGTCTCCATTGCTAGAACATTGAACATCTCCATCTTTTAATCTTGACCACTATGTCCATTTCAGTTCTTGAAACTTCTCGACGAGGTCCATACGCCATCGACGATATGATTGCAATGGGAAAGGATGCTGGCAAGGAGCTACTCTCTCGAGCGGGTCCCGGTTTTTTTGATAGCTAGTTAGTTTAACTTAGAATGTAGGATAAAAGATCAAGGCTTCGTATCCAAATCTTCAAGTGAGTAGGAGTTTATATTCATTCATCCTTTGAGATGAAGCTTGTTGTACTTCAACGATGATTTTGTTTCCACTCCGTTTTCTTAATTGGTTGTGTAAATTTGAACAGAAATCATTTAGACTATTTTGGGTGCCCCAAACAATCAATACAATTTCCCCCTTTCTCTGTAATAAGATCGAAGTTTAAAGAGTGTTGGCCCTTACTAATGTTCAAGATCTCAACAGAAAAGCTATAATTCAATGAAAAACAATGAAAATTCGGGATAGCGTGTAATACTTGTTCTAATCAAGCACACAAGTCAATCGTGAGAAATTCGAATGTCGCAGACAACGTTGTTTGGACCTCAAGTCACGTTGCGAGAAAATGTTTAGAAACTAAGAAATACATTTGAAAACAACATTATATGACTATCAGAAACTTAAATAGCATATAAAACAAATAACTCATATAACTCAGGGTAGTTAAAACATATAACTCGAGTAGGAAGAATAACTAGTTATAACTTCTATAGTACATTTGGGAGCATTTTAGCCCTATCAGTGGTTTTGATGAACGGTCATACACCCTCATATTGACCCAACGCGAAATGGTAAAGACTTATCTAAGATAAAAATATGTAAAATGGATTTTGGAATGGGCATACAACTATGGACAACATGTCTTAGACAAGCGGGACATCTGCCATGCACCCATAAGCAACATGCCTTGAACAAGCATGACCGTAACACTAAGCTTCCATTTAAAGTAGAGTCTCAGTCAGCTTTATTCTCGTACATCATTTAAAGGCATCATAAGTTAACATCGTAGCAGCAAAATCACTATATAGTTTGAGGAGAAAATTTTTGAACGCATACAAAATTAGAACAATGGCAACAACCTTTGACGAGAGGATTCAACTCCATCTCCTCCTATCTTCCTCTTCATCAACAGGAGTATACCATGAAGGTCGACGCTTGGAGTTGCTTAATCTGTAATTTAAGAGAACTTCTTCATCACAAAGCGCCCGAGTCGCTACCAGAACAATTGTCTTCAAGATGGGAGTATCTGATCCGTTGATTCTAGAACGTCCGGATTTGAACCAAAAGCTACCTAGCCTCTTCATGTTCACTTCTTCATTTGCAAACAGTACATTTGGAATATAAACTCTCATGTCCTTTTCTGTAATGGGGAAATCATAAGGACAAAGCATGACATTTGGAGCCATATCCTTAGCGGGATGGTTGGCGTAATGAGCAAAAGCTAGAGGATTTCTACGCTCTATAGCAGCATCACCACCATGCAAAACTCGTTTGGCTTCTAATGGCTTGCTCAGCATTTTCCATAGACGATCTGATTTCTCATCGCCTTGTTTGGTCGGATTACTTACGGGAACAGTTAAGCCATCCCATACCTCGCGGGTATCGGCACCCAAACCCCAGGGTTGGGCATTGATTACAGTACTGTCGTACCTTGTGATCAGATAAGGGTTCTGAACATCAACTCTTGGATATCCAGGAATGTACTGATAATGAGCAGGTGAATATATAACGCCTGGGTATATAGCTATAACAGATCCCACATCAGCTTCACCATCTAGAAAAAGACCTTGTCCAGCATCCTTATGAGGGATTTGAGATGGCCTGATATCAAGAGTGTAGCCAATTACATCCTTTAATTTCTGTGAAAGTTCAGAACGATCCAATGGCCTCGTCTTTGGGATATCTGTGCTGTGAATACATCAGTAACCAGTAGTCATCACATAGGTGAAAGGAGAGCAGATGCAAGAACAAAAGCTTTAGTTACCAAAAGAAGAAATTTATTAGCGCTGTTAGTAATTAGTTTTAAAACTGTTTAAGGAAAACTATCTTGCCTTCTATTTGTTTATTCGCATGAGCAGTCTGTTACAGTGTGAGTGAAGGAATATGTCCTAGGTACTAACCGAATTTCCTAGCTCACAAACAAAGAGGGCCGCAAATTATCCAGCTTGGGTTATTGGAGCATGGGGTACAATTTAAAATGACATAATGACAACTAATTAACTTCATCAGCACTATGCACAATTCAAACTGTGAAGCCGGCAACTTATGTATCATTTACATGGATTGACGCTGAAAAGATCAACCAAGTTTTTGGGGAAAAACAAACTTCGAAAAAGATCTTGTCTATATCTGGGAAATCCAACTACTTTAGCAGCACTAGGGAAAAAGGCCAGTTTGATAACCATTTTATTTTTGGTTTGCTACTTTTTAAATTAAGCTTGTAAATACATACTACTTCTAATTACCGTTAAAAGTATTTGCAAAATCCAAGTCAAACTTTGAAAACTAAAAAACATAGTTTTAAATACTTGACTATGTTTTTTCAAAATTTGACTCTGAATTCAAAATGTATTTTTATGAAAAGTGAAAAACTTACTAGAGAAATGTGAGAAAACAGGCTAATATTCAAGAATAGGAAACAAAAAATAAATTGATTACCAAACGCTCGAGAAATTGATTAGAGCAAGAGAATCTAACCAGTAATGTTAGTAGGCGAACTATGTTTGCCAACAGCAAAACTAAGACCACTTTTTCTAACGGCACCGTTGGGCTGTTTGGGTGATTCTGCAGGGCTCATCCTCGGATCTGGAAGAAGAATTTCATCCATATGCTTACAAAAGCTTTCAACCTGTGAATGGATGTTCTCTTGCACTTGCTTTTGTTGATCAGCAAAAGGAGCTTTACTGGCCATGTCGATTATCTCCTCTGCATCAGCCTCTGCAGCATCCCTCCCCAAACGGTTGTAGCTGGAATTTCAAAATTTTATGAGATGAGTTCTACCAAAGCATATAAATTAATATGAACTTGCCAAAAGTATAGGTTTCTAACAAGTGATCACATCCCAAAAAAAAATTCATCTATTTCCTTTCCCGCTGAGAAGAGAGATGAAAAGGGTTTATACCAAACTGAGCAACCTTCATGAGGACCCCAGTTATGGAAAGCAAGGATAGGAAGCCATATTGATAGAATAAGGGTGATTGATTGATGGATAAACTAAGTAAATGGATGCCATCACAATAAAAGAAATTCAATTTAGCAACAGACATAAAATCAAGAAGTTCTTTTTTTGATATAGGAAACAAAGATTTTGGAGACTACACAAAAGTTTGTATAGAGATTGAACTGAATTTTGGAACCACATGATGTAATAGAAAAGTTAAAATGACCTGGTGAAAAGGAACAAGCGGTTCATATCTGTTTCAAACTGCATGTGCCTTGGATCCCTTGCAAACATTGGATTTTTGGCAATAACCTTCACGGCCTAGATTTGCAAGTGTACATAGAATAAACATCAGTGGAAAAAAAATCAGACGGACATATTGTGGTATTTATTTTAGACTGTAATGGGAAGGACATTGGTAATAAAAGTTTCAGACACCACATCATCACCTCTATTTAGTTCTTGAAACCACACAAAAGATGCAATAATACACCATTTCCTTACATGTAAGCATCTTAAATGATAAAGAAGATCAGTTTCTAAACAAATATATCCACATTGGAAGAGAAATAAAAGAAATAAGAACAGGAACAAAGAGAGTCAAAGGATCAACGAGGAGAACTACCACGTTGTTTAGAAACAAATAACTCCTAAGAATCCTTCTTGTAAAGTATGGAGGCGCCGGTGTTTATAAACCACAAGGCCGAGAAGTTTCTTATCAATCTGGAACTGAACTAGTTTAATTGTCAGGTCCGACGAAACCCTCAATTTCTTTTCACTTAACTCACTAGGACGTTTTTTCTTCACTCTTATAACTAGTATCATTATTTCGAACCTGTAATCTCCTTGTTTGGTTGATGCAAATACCGCGGATTGATGATACAAACATACTCTGAATACAAGATTGTCTATCACTTAACCGAATTCAGACAGACAGACTGACATCGAAAGCGCAAAAGCAGAAATCTAGCCACAAACCGAGAAACTAATAATTTCACGGGATGAATCAGTACCTAAATTCATAGAACGCCACAGAATAACAAATTTTCCTTAAATTCAGTAATGAAAATCTTTTTGTAAGACTCAAATATTAACCTACAGTATCTCAATCTATCTCCTTCCATTTCTCATCATTTTCCAGCGGTTTGACGGGAAAATCAAGAACAGTAATCAAGAACAGTAATCAAGAACAGTACCTCTTGAAATTTCTGAAACAGAAACGCCATTGAAGGAATCGAACTGCGTGGTTGAGGATTGAAGTGATGCAGATTAGCTCCCGCGAACAAGAAGCTAGTGTAGCGGAGACTAGTAATTTTAGAACCGGGAACCCAGAGTGGAAACTCGGACGAATATATATATGGTTAAATTAGGGGTAATTTTGGTTTTCAATTTTTGCAAAAAATAACCCATTCCAAAATATATTTCATTTGAACCGTTTGTCTATGACTTACGAGTTAAATTACGATTTTGCCCTTGAAGAAGTTTTAGGTCGTTCTCGAAACCCCAAAATTAAACATAATTTGTTCGGAGCAATTCGTTTGGAAGAACTCATGTTAGTCTGTGGGATAGTCTGACTTTTGGAAGTCCTATTGGAACGAGACCATATCGCACAAAAATGTTGGGTTCATCGTGTGCCGAAAAACATATTAGGAAGCAATCCAGTCGATTTTTCTTACTCTTCTTATATTATATTTAATAATTATCATAATCTCAACCAATTTATTTTAAAAAATAAAATAGTTATCAAGCTCAACCTCGAGAGTGAATAGTATACTAAATTTTAGAAGATGCAGGTAAACGATTGCCCGAGAGAAAATAAGTGAGTAGGGCAAGTGATTGTCGAGGAGCAAAGACCGGAGCTTGGTGGCCTGCCCCTCTAATGGTGGCCAATGTGAGGCCTCCTCGGTAGGTTTCAACCCAACCAGCCACTTGACGCCTCTCATACCACGCCCTCCATTCTTCTTTGATCTTCAAATTCATCTCGTTTATACTGTATTTTGTTGATGTTATCGGTACTCTCCCATCAGTGTCACCACTGCAAAATTGCATACATTTAAAAAGTTCCATAATAACTTATTTGTATATAGGAATTTACTTCGTCTATTTGGTCGTTTTCTTTTTTACTTTAATCGACGTGAAATTATATTCATATTTTCGAGGAAATTTACGAAAATTACCTATAAATCCAAATGCGGTATTGTGCTCGGAGTAACTTCTGAATAATTGGCAACACAGAGCTAGGAGCGTCGGTCCAATTTAGAATCACATTACTGCCACAAAAATGCCAAAAATTAGAATGAAGACTTATATAAAAAAAAAACAAAAAATGAAACTCGTGGCAGAAAAATAATGAGAAAACGAGCACAGGGTCTAAACTCTTACGGTTGTATCTATTACGTTCACATTTTATTTAACATTTTTAAATAAAAATAATCACGAGTTATTAAAAAAGTACCTGCACGGGGTGTAAGGATAAGAAAGTTGAGTAACGTTTGCATGTAGAGCCCTTTGAACATCCCCTCTATTAAAATACTTTACTGCATAGTTTGGAGTACATGGATCGTACCCTCGTGCTAGTAGCTCGTTACTCCATGATTTCTAAGTCAAATTCAAAGATTAAAAAACCGAAACATAGTAAGGAGTTTTGAATTAAGGTTTTCGAGAGATTTGAAGTCTTACGTATTTGGAGAAGATTCGAGGAGCAGCAGCACCGGCGAGTCTAAACACCGAGTCGAAAGAAGATGATGAAGAAGAAGAAGCGAGGCAAATTGGAGCATAAATGTTATAGATATCAATTTTGTTGTAAGAAACTATAAAATCTCTGAAGAAATTAAGGCAAGAAAGTGTTAGGTTTTGAGCATCAGCCGAGAAATTGCAGTCCTTGAAGATGTTGGCATGGAGCTGGTCGGATATTATGGCATGGCTCCATGCAAATTCCACCATTCCTTTTAGGTCTGTTTCGTCGTTAATGGCTGCATTTCCGATCTTATTTAAAAAATAAAAATAGTTAAATTGATATGATAGTTAAATGTGGTCGGGTATATATATATTCATATCTCTAAAGAAGAGAACTTACCATTATGCCCTTGAGGTTAATAATCAAGTCTTTGCTAGACTGATTGTTTTTCTCATAAATGAGCTCAGCAAGCTGGGGAGCGTAATGTCCTTCAAACAAATAATAAAAGAGAGAGACGGAGTCAATAATAAATTTACGAGCGGGATTGGATAACCATTTAACCTCAATTCAAATTTCGGAAGTTAACTAGTTTCTATTACATAGTTCAAACACGTGTTATCCGAACATGGACGCATTTTAATCTTATGTTATATAAATTCTAAATGTACGAACTCATTAACCAGAAAACACATCGAACTTATAATTTAACCTAAATTCAAACTTTTGAAACTCACGGTCGAACTCGTAATTTAACCTAAATTAAAACTTCTCAAGTCAACTCATTTTCGTTGCACAATTCAAACACGTGTGTTCGAGTTCAAACCCGAAAGCACATTGAAATCAAACTCGAGCTATAAAAGTAGAAGAAAATACCCGCGTAACTCTCTCCGGTTATATAGAATTGATGAAGTTTGAAACTTGGGAACCTTCTGAACCAACCAATAAGAAAGGCGTAAGAATCTTCTGCTGTAACTTTATCACCGAGCGTATGTAAATCCGATGATTTGTTTGTATATGAGAATCCCACTCCCACCGGTGACTCCAAAAACAACATATTTGCCGCTGTTCCACACATTTTTATTTAATACCGGTACTATTTATGAAATTTAATAAATTATAGGGATTAAATTCTAATTTCTTTCGAATTTAAATGGAAAGTCGAGAAGCGGTACCTTTATTCCAAGAGAAATGATTGAGTTTAAGCTTCCCATTGCTCTGAACGAGGAAGGGACCAAGTTCTTGTGCAGCTCCATATGCTATGGACGAGCAGCCTGGCCCTGTTAATATTTTAACATTTAAATTACGAGTTTGGTCAATGAAATTTCAAATTTGTATTAAAAAAAAGGTTTGGAACTTCTAATTTTATGTCTAATAAAGTCTCTAAACTTAATATTTAATAAGTCTTTAAATTTAATAATTGATGTCTACCATTTTTTTTTTATTCACAAAAAAATTAATAAAATTTAATTATGTATTATTGAGTTTGAGATAAAAAAAATAAAAAATAATGAGGGACTAACAAACAAAATAATCAAACTTTTGGGGTCATTTTGCAATAATTTCAAACATGGGGGACTAAATAAGAATAATAACAAAATCAAAGAAGAGAGAGAACAGAACCTCCATTGAGCCAAAGAACGAGAGGCTTATGAGCGACGTCGTTTTGAGCCTCAAAAAACCAGTAAAACAGAGCCTTCTCTTCATTTGGCCGGAGTTTGATGTAGCCGGCATAGTGTCGGAACTTCACAGGCGGCTGCCCCGGCAAGTCGGTCACTCTGTCGGCCTCTCTCCACCGCGAATCTCCGTCGATCTCCGCCGCCGTAGAGAAAAGTAAAGTGAAGAACAAAGGCAACAAGTTCCGAAAAAGTGCCATGGTCGTCGCCGGTCAACGGTAATAATTCTGTTCTCTCTCTCTCTCTCTCTCTCTCTCTAAATTTAGAGAGAGAAAATGAATTTGGAGATTGAAAAGAAGATAATTGTGAGATTTATATAGATATTGTCTCTACTTTTTTTCAATTTAATCACTTTTTTTAGATTTAAATTTCATTTTAATCCTCTAACTTTTCAAATTCTTTCATTTTAGTCCTCATCATTTAAAAAAAAATTAAAATTATATTAAAAATTTGTAATTAAAAATTTTGGGTAATCGCCCGAGGGAGGTTGAACTACTCTTTCGACTTAATCGGAGTTGATTACATTATCTCTTTTAACTTAATTCACTTTTTTTAGTTCGATGGATTTAAATTTTTTGTGGGTAATTTAAAAAAAAAAAAAATAGAAAATCTCGATAAATTTGTCACATTCTGAGAAATTTAGGCCGGTGGATGTGACATTCATTTAAACTAAGATCTATGGTGGATTCCATCTATTCACATCTCTCCAAGTTCATGGTGAATGTTACGGTCGTGATGTTAACTTCCAATAACTTGTACATGCATCATTTAAGCTATAGATGTCAATTTTTTCTCGAGTGGAAATGCTTTTTGAATGAAATGAAGAATCTCGAGTTCCGATGGAAAGCAAATGTTTGGTTTAGTTTAGCTTTAAGAATCTATTTTGATATCTTTTGCACATTACTTCAAATAAGTTCGATACTTTTTAGACCTACTTTTTTAGTCGATAAAAGCTGACGAATCTAAAAATATTTTTTTAAAATATAAAATTACTGAGTAGCTAGTTAAAAATAGAAGAGTTATATTATCGAGTCATGAGTGATGTGGAGCGAGTGGGAGGCAAAGTGTTGGTGGAAAGGACAAGGGATTGATGGCCAAGGTGGTGAGGCCTCCTTCATGCTTGTGGTACCATGCCCTCCACTCCTCTTCTACCCACCCCTATATGTTGGATCTTAGTTTAATTTTATTAAGAAAAATACTAACTAAAAATTAAATATTGGATATGTGTTCAAAAATTTAATTTCAAATTCAAATATTTTGTTCAGAAAATACGAAATTCATTGAAAAAATTAATGTAGAAACTAAATCATATATTTCTTTATAAAAAAAAAAAAACTAGAAACATGGGTAGTATCAAAAAGGATGTGAAGTACGAAGAATATAATATAATTAAGATCCAATCATTATAGTAAATAAAATATTCCTACCAGTACGGAATCTTTCGAGTGGAACTAAAAGTAAAGTGCTAAAAATTTAAACAGAACAAAATCAAATTTAATTTTTACGATTTTCAATTAAATCAATCTTCACCCGACGACCAAATAATCCTTCCAAATCTTTCATTTGAAGTGTCATATAAAATTACTTTTTCAGAAAATAAAATAAATTTTTTAAAAGTAAAATAAGTAATAATAAAAGGGTAGACAAAAAAGAATAACGACAGAGAAGAAAAAAGGAACTTTTTCTTCTCTCTTTTTTTAAATGAAAAATGAAAGTAAAAAATAGAAAATAATAAAGGAAGATGGGCCCGGGGACAGAAATGGAAATTTTGAATTTAGAGGGGATCGTTAGTTAACGGCTCTTCTATCTATAAAGTTTGATTTTTGTATGATCAGGGGCCATCCTTTTACGAGGTCCGTTAGTTGACAGACCTGTACTTCGGCCCTGCAGTACCCTCGTGCGCACGGCTTCTCAGCAACCTTTTAACGCAAGGACATTCTAGTCATTTCAGTCTCTTTCCCATCATTTTAGGGTTTTTATATTTTTTTAAAAATTACTATTTACTATCTTAATAAATTTGAGTTTCAAGCCAGCAAAAAAATCATAGTTCACTAGCAATTACAATCAACCTCTATCGAAGAGGTCCGAAATTTAAATCTACTTATTTGTTGTACTAATAAATCATAACTTTTTTTAGTTGAACCAGTAAGAGAAGAGATTTGAATAACTAACTTCAAACCATACAAACTTAACCCATAAGCAAAATGTACAATGAACGAACATATACGAGGAAAAAAGTTGCTCAACAAGTGAAAATGATACTATGGGATCTAACCAAAAGGAAAACTCCTGGTAAAAGAAAGACTTGAATCCCTAACTTCAAACAATACGAACTTGACCCATAAGCAATCTACCTTCAAACCATACGAACTTTAACCCATAAAAAATCTAACTTCAAACAATACGAACTTGAACCATAAGCAAAATGTACGATGAACGAACATATATGAGAAAAAAAGTTGCTCAACAAGTGAAATTGATACTATGGGATCTACCAAAAGGAAAACACCAGGTAAAAGAAAGACTTGAATCCCTAACTTCAAACAATACGAACTTGACTCATAAGAAATCTAACTTCAAACCATATGAACTTGAAAGCAAAATGTACGATGAGGAAAAAAGTTGCTTAAGAAGTGAAATTGATACTATTTATGCAGGATCTAACCAAAAGGGAAAACTCCATGTTGGAACAAAAGTTCGATTCTTCCTATTGTATCACAACATATATAGTGGAATTGAGTTGCTTAAATAATACACTGCATTTTTAGAAATAGGGCAAGGTTGGTAGTTTTCTTACAAGTAATCTTTCTCTGCATTTCCAGCTTGAGATTCAGAGAAGAATGGATGATATCTTCAATAAAGAATTAAGCCTTTTGGTCCCATTCATCATAAAACTCCTTCAGGAATTCCTCCATGAACTTGTGCCTTTTCTCTGCCCTCCTCTGTCCAGCCTAAAATTCATGCCCAAACGATCTCTAAACATAACTGAGACTTGAAATCTTTGTGATTTATAAGCAATCTTCACAAGAGGAAGAAAGATGGATGAATTACCTTTGTTTTCATCATATCCTTTATTTTCAGTAGCTTCTCGTGGAAGTGATTCACAGTAGTCTGCTCTTCTTTGTTCATGTATGCTTCTTTGGATAAACTTGTTCGAGGACGAATTGCAGGATCGTGAAGCGCTCTCTTCTTGCTTCCACCAAAAGTGAAGCATCGAGCAATCCCTGAAAGGAAAAGAAAATTAAAGAGGGTGTAGTTGTTTCAAGGATGGATGAGACTATTGCTAGGAATCACGACTCTCCACAGTGGTATGATATTGTCCACTTTGAGCTCTCAACTCTTTCGTGGCTTTCCTTTTGGTTTCCCCAAAAGGCCTCATATCAGTGAAGATCTATTCCTTACTTATAAACCCATGATCAACCCCTTAATTAGTCGATGTGGGACTCCCTCCCAACATCCCAACAATTCTCAACAACTATAATTGATGTAATATGACAGCAAACTACCAATAGCACCAATTGCATCTAAACGATCAGCATCTTGAACCACCCCAAACTCTGGAGAATAGTCAACTTTTGAAAGGCCAGCAATCTCTTCCTTGAAGCCTGGATGCCATAACATACATGAGGTGGAAAATTAGTCTTTTATGAAGAACATTTGGATAACGAAATAAATTCAGTCTAGCAAGTGAGCACTAACACAAGATGCCTAATTTTCAAACTGTGTATGTGAATCTCAACTCAGTTGGGGAGGATAGTGAAGCATTCTTATAAGGGTGTGGAAACCTCTCTCTAGCAGACGCATTTTTAAAAATTTTGAGGGGGAAGCTCGAAAGGGAAAGTCCAAAAAAGACAATATCTATTAACAGTGGACTTGGGCTGTAACAATGTAAAGGCTATGAAAATAACCACTATGCACGCACATACACACAAAGCCCTTCAAACACCTATTGTAATAACGTTCAAAATTCAAATACCCAATACATTAACATCCTATAAGAACTATCATAAGTTGGCCTAATTGCCAATAAGCGTCATGCAAATAACTAAGGGCTTAGAGGAAATGGATTCAAGCGATGGTAACTACCCATCTAGGATTTAATATCATACGAATTTCCTTGGTAACTAAATGTAGTAGCTTAAGTGGTTGTAGCTTTAAATGCAGAAGTATTAAAATTACATGTAAAATCAAAAAGTTCTTATAAATTGAAGTATAACAGATACCAACCCATGCCCTTTATGATCGCTAATATCTTTTGTTTCTTGTTTTCCTCAATTCCCTCTTCCTCAAGAAAATTCTCCACAACTTTTTCCTCACTTGGGTCTCTGCACAGAATAATAGTTACTAACAAGTAAGATCAAAAGAAAAACGAAGTAATAAAAGAGCTATAACTATGATGATTTAAACAAAGAAAGAGAAACAAACAAACCTCAAGTACTTGTAATCACCTGCAAGGTGGTAAACGAACAGGTACTCACTAACCCGTAACGAACAAGAGATGACAGTATCAGAGGAAAAGCATAAACTCTTTAAAATGAGTCTCCAGCAAGAGAAATGGATTAGAAATGCAAATACCAAACAGATTCAAATAGTTCATTTCTGCTTGATTTCTTATTGGAGCTTACAATTGATCGAACACTTTTACTTTCCTTCTTTCTTTTTGTCTTTTTCAGATTCTTACTAATTCAAAGACCTGATGTAGAGCCAAGATCTAAAATAGATGCCGAAATGCAAAGGAATGAATCTAGATAAGATGAACTCTAGGAATTCAAGAGTTAGCATGCTTTTTTTTTTTTCAGGTCGGGATTCTTAGAATTAGGCTCAGGATGAAGCAAGCTGGCATCGACCTTGTTCTATCATGTTCTACTCACAATGTAGATATGGATAACAAAATCATACCTATATCGTGGAGGAGCGCAGCAAGTTCAACCTGCCAAAATCACCAACTGAATATCAGAAAGATTCCACGAATCATAGAGATTAATAACCAATCGAACGTCCTCAATCACCAAAATGTTAGTTCTCCTAGAAAGTCTAGCGCCAAACGTGAAAATACACAGACTAGAGCGATTAACATCTAAGATCGAAAACCAATACGAAACAAAATCGACATGATTGTTGCGAAAATGGCAGAAAATGGAAATCGGAGCAGGAGTTTTCAAGGAACAAGCATACGATTTCCATGGAGTCAGTCTTGGAAGAGAGGCCTTCTTCTTGGGCTAGTGAGAGAGCAAGGTCTCGAACTCTCCAGACGTGAGAAGGATCGTGCGACGCGTCGTTACCACCCATCGCCATCTCCACCAGCTCCTCCGCCTTCTTCACCGTTTCTCTTCTCGCCATTTTCTCTTCTCCGTTTCTTCGCTCCGCAGCCGCCAGCTGAAGATGGCACAGCAAGTAGAGTAGGACCCACCGGTTCCGGCGGCTCTTGAATTTAATCCACCATTGCAATTAAATCATTGATTTTATAAAATACAAAAACAAAAAAAACCCTTCTATTTTAGGGTTGAGTTGTCGTGAATCAATTACATGGATAATGTAAAATAAAAACAAAAAAATATTACATAAATTTACTAGCAAATAGAGGAGGAAGAACGTTCGTGAGGTGAAGAAGAACGAAAGTTGAGCTGCTGAACTGAGTTTCTTCACGTCACTTTCGGCGAGGTGCACCGTGAAGTGAGTAGCAAAAAATGAAAGAAGAATTTGAGCGAAAGAAGTTGTTGGATGATCAAAAGTCGTGACTCTAATGTGTTGTACAAGAAGCTATTGGACATGGACGGTCAAAATATGAACTAATAATAAAAAAATGACTACGGACGAAGACGTGACGAATGAAGAATAAGATGAAAAAACTATGTAATACTGATGACATGTGGTAGTGTACTGTTTTGTGAAGTGATGCAAGGCTAGTCCGATGAGGAGGAGAAATCGGGTTCGAGTTGGACTTGGGCCTGGTCTCAATCTCGATAGGTTGGGTTGATTCGGTCATTTGGACATTTAACCTGTACCCAATTCGAACGGGATCGAATCTTTAAAAAAAATCGACCAAAGTAATACCCGTCATTTTTTCTTTTTTTAATTATTAAATAAAAGTACTGAAAAAATAATTATTAAATAAGATGTTGTTTTCTTATTTATTTAAAAAAAAAAAATCAGTATACTTTATTGTTTAAAATAATATAAATTTTCTATTCGATAAATCCAGTGCCACAAATTATTTCTAGAATATTTCCATATGGTATATTTTTTTCATCCTTTATTTTATTTTAAGAATACATAACACAGATTTGCTATTAATTAATTATATTATTATGTAAAATTAATATTTAAATATACCCCCAACATGATATTTGAATTGTCACCCGAACACGACTATGTGTCATCAATTTCAATAAAAACTTAATTTTTTTTCTTTTTTAATTTTATTTTTCGCCCACAAGACATTTATTATAAAAATGTAGAAACCTCTAACGATCCAAAACTAACGATAACGGGTGGATTTAGACGGTTGCAAATGGTATCAGAGTCAAACATCAGATGGCGTGCCAACGAGGACATTGGACCCTAATAGATGGATTGTGAGATCCCACATCGGTTGTAGAAAGAAACTAAATATTCTTTATAAGGGTGTAGAAACATCTCTCTAGTAAACGTATTTTAAAGATCGTGAGATTGACAATTATACGTAACTGACCAATATAAACAATGTTTGCTAGAAATAGACTTAAATTGTTACAAATGATTAAGAGGAAACATGATGCGTCACAGTAAGAGTGTAGAATAATTATTATATTATAAAATAATAAATAATAAATACCGTGTGGACAGCACACAATCATATAGTAATAAGAAATAAAATATATTGAGTGTATACATTTAATCAAATCTAACCAATGTAGTAGTTAGTTAATCAAACTATGTACCAAGAAAACTTTATTGAGCTCATGTCATTTTATTTTACATAATTAAATTATTATTATTATTTTTTGTATTTATAATACTTTTGATTTTATTTTTATATTTTTAACCTATCAAGTTGGTATGTCGCTAATAAATGTTAATTAAAAAGTTGTTGGTTACCTTAAAAACATGTTAATTATCATATTATTCGGACAAAGATTTGGATCCACAAAATAGATTATCATTAAATAGACTGTCCAGTTAGGTCAAAAACCCTGTCTCTTGAATTAAATTTCGGTTTATAATTCAAAAATATTTGTTTTAACCCTATGTTCGAGTTAGCTCGAGAACTTATACAACACGAGGACTTTTCGAGAGATCATTCACTCAATTTTGCTCTCGTCTAAATACGTTTAGCTACAAAGTTTAATACATCAGGATTAATATGATTGCACGGGATGAACTGAGATAGATTACTTGTAGCAAAAGAAAAGAGAATAAAAAAATACGATAAAAGTTGTGAAAAAGAGGATATACGACACAAAATCAAAGGGGTTAACTACTCCAATGAGCTTGGAATTGTGTCATTTGTGTGAGATGTCAATCTTCCAATGTTTTTTTAATGAAAACTTAGGCCATAGGGGTTAGGTGGTACCAAATAAATGTGACATTAGAGTGGATAAGCCTTAGATTTTAGCTTATTAAAGAAAAATTCTTATATTTTAGTTGTTGCCATTTCTTCAAATTACCATTTTTTTTAGTTTGTACCAAACAAAATTCTAAACATAAAATTAAAAATTTAGTATTTTATTTGACATAAAATTTAATTTTATGTTTTATACTTTTTTTTTTTTAATTAAATTAATTTTTTTAGAATATATAATGATGGGTTAAATATAAAATTGAAAATTTCGAAAACTATCGAATAATTTGAAGTTTATAAACGTAAGACATCTCTATTTTTTCCCTCGAGAATCCTTAGAATTACCATTGCTTAGCTTTCGGCCTCTGCCCATCAAATTAAATGTGAATAACCCGTCCTCCTCTCTTTGAAACAAGAGACGCTTCTCGTTCTGTCGGTGCTTGAAACAATTTAGTCTTCTCCATATTACTATATCTCTAGAGTCAATAATTTTATATGAGGAACCACTGGACTCAATCACTTGCTGTCGTTTTCTGTTGAGGTCTATCTTGTAGAGGTACTCAAATTCGATGAGTGATCGATAACTTTTGTATTATTAAATCATTATTGGAGTCTTCCCGTCGTAAATTTTCAAGTCATTTCTCATAACCAATCTTCGTTTTTTCAAAGTCAACAAATTAAAACCATTCCCACAGCTTTTCATTTAAAAGATAATTACTAGAAGTTAGAACAAAAATTAATTTTTTAATTTTATTTTATTTATTAAATACAATGTTATAATATAACGAACTATAATTCAATATTTAATGACGGGACTTATGGTTTAATAAAATAAATAAATTAATACCTCGAAATTTTTATAGTTAAAATATTAGTCAGATAACAAAGATGATTTTTTTTAATATAATTTATCTTAAAATTTGGAAATAAAACCTACAATTTACCTAAAAAATTACTAATACCAATTATTTATGAAAATATAAAAAAAAAATTGAATTTATTTTATATTTTATTCAAATTACCATACTAACCTCTTCCTTTAGAAGAAGATCTGAGTTCAAAACCCCGTTCTTCTAAATGCCGATCTCCGTTTCCTCTGCTTTATTTTTGCTCTCCCATGGCGGAAGCTTCTGAAAAAATGTCTCCGTCCAAACGCCCACTCCATTTTCTCCTCCGCTGCTTCGGATCTTCCCCCAAAGTTCAAACCAAGAAGAATCCTACGACCGGCCGACGGGACAGCCGGATTCCGTCGCCTCGGTTCCGATTTAAGAAGTCCTCTGCAACTGTGCCAATCGACGTTGCCGTGCCGGAGATCACCGTGCCATGTGACGATAAAGCCTCTTTTTCGCCGGAGTTTAAGAAACCGCCTCCCTCGCCGCTGATTAAATCCAGAGCTCCGACGGTCCGAACCAAGATCGTCGAGTTGATAAAGCCGAGTCAACCTTGGAAGAAAACAGAGTCAACCCGGTCTGATTTCCTTACGCCGGCGAAAAGAACCGCCGCGTTATTGCATTCTATCTCTCTTCCCTCCCGGAGACTAAACCGCCAAAAAGATTTCAAAAAAACAGTATCTCATCTCTCCGCCGTCAAAACCCCCACGCCGACGTCATCCGAGCGGAGGAAACCAGCGGATAAGCCTCCGATGAATTCCCCGGCGAAGATACTCGATCTGATTATTGTGATTGTTGCAGTGGCGATTGTGGTACTGTGGGGACAACTCTGCGCCATACTCTGCACGACGGCACTGTTCTATTTCTGCCGCCGATTGAGATCAGAAACCGAATTAGAGGGCGGCGGCGAGATGCGAGTCTTGAATCGAAAAGGAAGTGGTTTCAGGAAGGTTTCTGGAGAGGTTTGTGCAAGGTTACGGGGAACCGCCATGTGAGGGAGCTCGAAGAATATTTTAATGGCGGAGATGTGACAGGTTGTTACGCTAATTTTTGTAAATTATTGGCGAGGGTACGAGTTCGAACACTGTAAAACTAATAATTCGACTAATATATAGAAATATAAATAATATCGAAAAATAAAATAAACCAATCAGCTATTTTCGTGATTTATGTATATATTTATATATATCATTTAATTATAATTTTCAACGACCTTAAAACCCATAAAATCTAGATGTGACGTTTGTGTTTGGAATGTCATGGGTTAGAAATGGATGTCAGTCAAACGGGTAGCTCATTTAAGTTTGCAAGTTGAAGTAAAAGCAATTAGCAACAAGCACACGGTTGCTAGTGCATGCTTTGCGAGGAACGGTTCATAAAACTTAGGATTTTTCTGTGCAACGAAGTAAACAATATGCTAAAGTTAGGCGCTATATAACTTGTTAGTCGTAAGGTATAGTTAAGACATTATACCGTCAACTTATTTAAACCCTCATTTCTACCTGTTGTGAGTTAAACCTGTTATTGAACTTCGATTCTTTTTTCATACATTTTTTTGTTATTTTAACTCACGTTGAGCATAGATGGTATATATTTGTTGGATTTTTTTTTAATTATTATTTTTTTGTTCCTTGCGGTAATTTACATTAAAAGAGTAAATAATATGTGATAAAACAATAACAATAATTATAGCTTATTTTAGTTTTTAAAAATAACAAATGGAATTAAAAATTCAATTTATTTTCTATAAAAATATGAAAATCATGGTAAAAAATGGTGCAAAAATAAACCAATTTTAAAAATAGAAAACTAAAAATAGAATAATCATAGCATAAATTATATATATATATATATATATATATATAGCTTATTATAAATTTATTTTTATTTATGTGTCGTTGTCAACTATTTTTAATTGCATATTTGACTAGATATTACTATATTTATTTATTTTTTTCATACTAAAAAATGCAATAATTAGCGTATAGATCCATCCTTCTATTTCTGCCGGCTTTATCATTATTCTGCATGACTATATATATATATATATATTTTTGTTGTACTTAGGTTAATAATAATAATTCAGAAGTTAATTTTAACTTCAAATTTGTAATTTTATTGAGCTAAATCATATATTTAAATAATAGTGTTACCATTAATATTTTTTAAAAATTTTAAAATTTAATTGGTAGATATTATTTTTAAGGATGCTTTTAAGTCAATTTGAACATAACTTAATAGATAAGACATAAATTATTATTAAAAAAGTACAAAAATACTTTAAAATGGATAATTTTTCCACGTATGTTTTAACGATATTTATTTTATTTTATTTTTGTAACAATAGAATCACATTTGAATTAAAAATAAAACCAATAAAAATTTATTACCTTAGTTTTATAACTTTTTGATTTTTTTTTTTAATTTTCGTTTTTTTTATAAATTTATTGTTGGGCCGTGAATGAATCTACTTGGGCCCAAATCCACAAACTCAAACGTTGACCCATCCGCTCTCTTCTCCAATTCAACAGATATATAAGTCTCGTTTCGCCTCCATTTCCTACTCTCCCATCTGTTAGGGTTTTTTTCGGGCAGGTCTCGTCGACGTTCAGCAGCCATGGTACACTTCTCTTACCCTTTGTCTCTCAATCCGATTTTGTTAGCTACTCATTTATTTTGTTGAATCTCTCTCGTTGGTTGTTTCTTCTCCGAGATTTTGATGTGCATTTACTTCCACTCTTGATTCCCTCTGTGTTTTTAGCTGCTCTATCTGTTTGTTCTCTTGTTTGACCTTGTTGTGCATGATGCTGAAGATTTATGTGATGGAAAAAGTAAACTGCTGAAGCGATTGGTATCGTCTTGGAAGTTCAGTGTTCTGTGGAGTTTTAGTGGCGGGCACAGATGATGAATTGTTATGGTCTTCGTTTTCTTTTGCGTGCATTTTTTTTTAAATTGTTCGTACTGTCGATCTGAATTTGTGCTTAAAAGGCGACTGGTTCATCTTTTGTAGTCGAGTGATAGTGTTAACAAATTATGTTACGTGTTACTGAGCTTCTGAAGGTGCGAGAATTGACTGAGATTGGGTTGTTTCATCATGCACTTTTTTTAAGAAGGATTTTCCTCGAGTTAAACATTGCACATGGAATGTATTAATGATTCTGGATACTTGATTATGAGTTTTATGGAATATTCCATAGAAAACGGATATTAGATCAGTGAGTGCAAACGTGGTAGTGGAGGATCATATTGGTTCGTAATATTTGTTGTCTTATTGATGTTTTTAGCTAGTAGTGTCATAGTTTATAATTTGAATATGGATACTGTATTGGGAAACAGGTGAACGTTCCCAAGACAAAGAAAACTTATTGCAAAAGCAAGGAGTGCAAGAAGCACACCTTGCACAAGGTTACACAATATAAGAAGGGAAAGGATAGTCTTGCTGCACAGGGAAAGCGTCGGTACGATCGCAAGCAATCAGGATATGGAGGTCAGACCAAGCCCGTGTTTCACAAGAAGGTTAGTTAGTTTTTCTCTCATCCAGTCAATTCTTACTTTCTTTCTTTTCCACGAGGCAAGGAAATCAAAATTGAAGTGAAACATGTGAATCTCACAGGCTAAAACTACCAAGAAGATTGTATTGAGGCTGCAATGTCAGGGTTGCAAACACGTATCCCAGCACGCTATCAAGGTTAGAATGCCAAGTATTTCATCATTTTCTGTTCACGGGCTTTCACTATTCAGTATCTTGTTAATTTAGTGCACTTGTTCGAACAATCTTTCAAGCATATAGTGGTTTTCAAACTGCATACTTAAGGTAGTTGTCTCTGGGGTCCCATAGAGCTACATTCATTTTACCCCCTTAAAATAAATGCCACTTGACTGCTATACCTGTGAATGCCCCTGGAACACAACATTCGCATTTGGGGTGAAATATTTGGTTGGGACTCTGATTTCAATTGCAAAATTTTTTTCTAAGCACTTATCGCGATGGATTGTTAGCTGTTTTAGAAAGGTCCAAATGTGGAAAAGAAACTTTCATCAGTTAGCTGAGTACTTTGTCGTCTCCTTATTTCATTTCTAACTAAATAACTTAATTGGCAAATGCAGAGATGCAAGCACTTCGAAATCGGTGGAGACAAGAAGGGGAAGGGAACATCTCTTTTCTAGATCCGTTGTCTGCTCTTAGCTTTTGTGATTTCTTTTTGACAAAATCAATTGTTATCGGAGATGTTACAGCATTACTCTGTTTGGTTCTCCAATTAGTTCTAAATGTCGTAACAATACTATTTAGCTTAAGCCATCTTATCTCAATTATCAAATTTCCAAATTTTTTTTGCTTTTCGTTTAGTTGTTTCTCAAAGAAACTTGTGTTTGAAGTGCTTTCATAGCTTAACCATTTGATTTTTGAGAATAATTATTGTTAGCTTACATTTAGTTCAGGCAATGATATTCATCCATTGACTTGACAGTGCTTGAATCCCACATAAGAGCCAATGTAGCCAATTGTAATTTTGAACTCACATCTTAACACCTATCCTAAAAGGCTCTACCAATCTCTTTGGACAACAAACACAACGAAAAACTTGAAGAAAAGAAAAGCCACCCTGTATCTATAACATATTTGGGTCCACTGATATCCAAATCATGTATATATGAAGCAAAAGCCAATTACCACAATAACGCTAAACCATTGGGCAACAGCATTAAAGAATGAAACCCGCTGCAAATGATTAACACTGCTGAAGAACACACAAAATTAACTCCGATTGTCAAAAAATCATGTTACATTTGAAAGGAAGAACAGAACAATCCAGTTCAAAATCCAAAATATCCATGTTTTGCACTATAACTGTCTTTTCTCAGTAGTATTTGCAATATACACATAAACGACCATATCGATACCAAAGGGATGAGTCTACTATACAAAATTGTGCCACAATGGTGTAAGAATCTTATCAAAGCCCTCCAGTTTCCCCTAAACTATGCAGCACATGACACAATGAACAAAGTTAATGGAGTTCCAATTTCCCGTATCATATAATGTATGCTATTCATGTAACTACGAAAAGTTGAACTGTGATACACCTGAAGCATGATATTGTGTAGAATTGAACTAGAAGAAGCAAACATAATATGGATAAAGTATAGACATTTGTTGTCATACGAGCAAAATTTGAAATTCTATTAAATTTCAAGCTTTTCTCTTTGAAATGCTAATAACAATACTGATCCAAACAGCTAAATCAACATTTAGCTAAGAAAAAAACAATCAATTCCATCACATCTAGGTAGATATGATCAGCTTTTAGAGAATTCTAACAAAAGTCAGTATGGAACTTTGAAATGCCACGCTTTTGCGTCATAATCCTACCTCGCATTCTTAATTTGAACCTTTATCCTTGCCTTGAGAACCAACTGCATCAGTCACCAGAGCTATTGGCCTTTGATCCATTACCTCGTCGATAATGCCAAACTCTTTGGCCTCTTCTGGGGTCATGAAATAATCCCTATCCATATACTCTTTGATAGTATCTATTGGTTGTGACGTATGCTTGGAGTACAGCTCGTTAAGTGCATCCCAAACCCGAACGATCTGTTTCGTGTGAATCGTTATGTCCTTTGCTTGCCCACTGTATCCACCAGAAGGCTGGTGAATCATGATAGTTGCATTAGGAAGCGATCGTCTCTCACCCTTGGCACCAGCAGCTAGAAGAAGAGAAGCCATTGAAGCAGCCTGACCCAAACAGATGGTATTGATGGGCGACCTTATATACTGCATAGTATCATATATAGCTAGCCCTGTAAATACATCACAAATATTCTATCAAATTCAGCAACCTCGAATCTTCCAAGCAGGAAAGGTTGGCCCTTGGAACGAAGTTCATGATTATAATCTTTGAACACAAATGACAATTGAAGTCTACTGAGGTAACAGACAGTGAAAATTAACATTATGAGGGGAAGGGAAGTAGACTTCCAATGTGAGATTAGCCAAGTTTCATAATCAGTGAACTGAAATAGTTTGAAATCCTTTCGTTTTCTTGTCAACAAACCTCAAATTGGGAGAAAATAATACGAATTAAAAGTACTATATGTGC